ACTGTACGTCTACTCTTTCTTTTGAAGTCGACTAAAGAACTACACAAACAGAGATCGAGCTGCAGCGTTTTCTGATAAACCTGGTCTTTTTAAACTGCAATCTGTTGCTAGGCGTGGTATAGGAACATCGTCTTTCGAGGAGTTTTCTTTCAAGTTCATAGGCTCGCAGTTTACTGTCGCAAGTATCAAGAGGCGTACGATGACTGGCTGTATAGTCATTTGGTATGACTGTATACAGTCATCATAGTCTGATATAATAGCTCAATGATAAAATATATTAATCTAGTACAAGGGCAGTATCTATTGTTAGACTAAATATGCCACTTCCTCTGTGCTTGCGGGGCTATTCTGTAATTTTCAATTCGAAAGATCGAAGTGGACTCGAGCGTGGTCCGCCATGTCATTGGTCGTGAGAATAATCTCCACCAATGACGGGCGAAAATGCGATGGAACTCAGTTCGAGAGTTCAAATTGACATCTTACAGAATAGTCAGGCTTTACTAAGTTAAACCAAATTTGAGTGAATGTGAACATATGACATGGATCGACATAAGACGGTACTACGTTCTACACTTTTATTGATACCACATACTTGGTTACAAACGTTGTCATACGAGGCTCTTGACAAAATATCACAAATACAAAAAATCTACTTATCTTTATTTTTGTTGTTAGTTTCACGATACCAATACAAGAAACAAAACACTAGCGAAATTGTAAAATGTGTTTGTGTACCTAGTATAGTCAAAACCATCAAGATGAAACGTATTTCTTAAGGCCGAAACACAACCGCGTTGCGTCGCCGCAGCGCTAAAATCGTCAGTTTGCGTTGCGGTGCGTTGCGGCGTTTCGGCGTCGTGAAAAAGAGCGTTTTGTTAAAGTAACAAATAAGCAATAAATTTTTCACGATGGTCCATGGCAAAGACACGTCTATCCACAATAAAAAATCACAACGAACTGGTTACCCTACCGAACGACAACAAACCGCTCATTTTCACGACGCCGCAACGCCGGCGGTTGCGGCGACGCAACGTGGTTATGTGTTTCGGCCCTTAAATATCAAGGGTTTCGAATTTGAGAACAATTTTCTGGTTCACTCTTTTCCAGTAGATGTCATAGGAGCCGAGTAAGGGACTACCTACACATTTAATAGAACCTGTGCAGCAATGCGCTGTATGATCCTGAAACCTTCAAACTACGATTTTCAGCCGCCTTCTAACCACATATATTATTCACAATCCTGCCTTATGTGAAGATAGCTCATAATTTTAGAATGGACTATCACGGCCTGGTACGACAATACATTTTTTCATAATATTATTAAGTTTCATTACCTCATAAATTAATGTTTATTTTATTGTCTAATCTAGCTCGTCTAATCAGGGTTGCCCATGGACACCCAGAAGCAAGATCAGAGGAGTTTTAGTTTGGAGGCTTTTGGGTGGGATGCCATCCCATTCACTCCAACTCAACCACACACACATTAGTTGAGACTACGTGTGGGTAGTCTCACTCACTCAATCTCTTAAGCTTAAACTTAAGCATTGTGTAATTGACGTAAGGTTTCCGGGAGATCGTATTCGAGCCGTCCCATTCATGACGAAGCTCTCCTGCATACAATAAATAAAATAAATACGCGACTAATACTTACTCTATTGCTCTCTGATTGCCAAACGCTGATAGTTAATACAATGGTAACTGTAAAATAAAAGTATATATTGAATATCTTATTACTTCTTTCTTCTGGAGTTACGTTATAAATCCCGTATAAAAGGATCATACTAGATACAAATTCATTATCCGGAAAGATCCTTGCTCTGCAGTCGCTCTTACGCCCGCTCCACCAATCTTACTTAGAATTAAGAATTAAGAATTGCATATGCAATAAAACACTGCCACTGGATTATGTTGCAAATCAAAAGAGTATAATTAATGAGCAAGCATGGAAGTTAAACTCGCGACTTTACTAATTAACAAATTGCGAACCTCCTTCTTTTTTGAAGTCGGTTAAACATAATATGTATAATATTCTTACCAATCGAAAAAATTACGAAATGCATTTCTGATTCTTTAGCTTCAAAATCAAAATGCCTTTAGGAAAACCATATTCTTGCTATTTTTTATTGTTTCGAAATTTATGAGGCTGTAACACTTATATGCGCAGTCGAATTATACAATATGTTTATTGTTCTTGCGAAAATATAGGAAATTTGGTTAAGGTATGTTGGTTTTTTATTTTAACCTTTAACTGAAACCGAATGAATATATACTCAGACTCCATGCAGTTACTAATAAAGATTGATACAAATATTGTATTTTAATACACATTCTATTATCCAAAAAGGTAAGGATGGATGTAAAATTTACTCATCGTATAACAAAATAGAGGTATTATGATACAGCGCAACGAGTAGAATAACGAGTAATAATACACCCCACCCTATTATTTAACTAATCGAAACTCAATCTTCCCCCCGTCTAAATCTTCAAATCCTGAACGCCCTTATAAATCCTCTGATGTGGTTCTTTTTTTCAGAATTTTCCAAAATACATAATTTTACACACATGATCGTGTGTGCAAAATTTATCTTCTATACGACCATACTTGGAATTTTATTTGTACATACGGAGTCTAGAAAAAAGAGTAAATATTATGGGGTATGTGTTTATTTTTATTTGCAAAATGACCGCCTTTGACCAAAAATCTCCTCTAGAAATAGGCGGTTTTCATAAATGTCTAAGTGGCCACCTTAGGTAGGCTGTTTATAGATTACTGTCAGATCATCATCAGTTTAGAGGACGCTCATCTATTGGTAGCTCGTCGTAGTTTTAGTATTAGAATTTAACATAAATACGACATACATACATCACATACATAAAATAGCAGTGACCATGTCATCATCATCATCATCATCATCATCATCATCATCATCAACAGCCTATAAATGCCCACTGCTGAGCAAAGCCTCTTCTCACACGGAGAAGGTTTGAGCATTAATCACCACGCTTGCTCAATGCGGGTTGGCGATTTCAAACTTATAATTAGAAATTATAAGTCCAGGTTTCCTCACGATGGTTTTCCTTCACCGTTTGTCAGTGGTGTCTAAATAATCTTAGAAAGTACATATAACTCGGAAAAAGTCACATTGGTACTTGCCGTTGGTAGGTTTCGAGCCCGCACCCTCATGCATGAGAAGTGGGCGTCTTAAACCTCCGGGCCACCACAACAGACTAGTTTCCTAGGTTTGGCTAGTTTCCTAGGTTTAAAATAAATCGTTTCAACTTTTCAATGCAATAAATAATTGAAAAATAATCATACTCTCATACATTGATTTGTCAATTTACCTACTTTTGGATTTTTTCTCGCTAATTTTAAGGAAATAAGTATGCTATTTGACGCAGAAATATGATGACGTCATAAGTTGCGATCCAATACAAAATTCATAGAAAAGTATCGTTTTTGACATTTCAATAAAAGTATTGAATTTGACTACCTGTCTACTACCATATTGTTGTTCCTAGTCTAGCTGTCATGTGTATGTGAACTTGTATGTTTGTAAACGCACCCACGATACAGGAGACAATCCTAGTGTGGGGTTTAAACTGTCAAACACCAAGCGGTCACCGGTGACCGCGACCTATTGTTCTATAATAGGCATGGCGACTATTTTTTAATTTTTTGTCCGTCTTTTAGATATTTTAAATATCTTCGATACGTATTTTTTCTTTTTTCTCGTATCCAAAAAAACATGTAGATATTTTGAGTTAAAATAACGCGTGACGTCACACTTAGGTACGATTTCTCCGTAAGTGTGACGTCAACACCCCCCACTCCCTAACTTTAATGCGGAATAACTACGTATTCTTCTGTTAATTTGATAAAACAAAAAATACGTGTCTGATATTTTCGTGCGATCTTAATGACGGACTAATTAATTTTTTGATTTTTTTACCCTGTCAACACGCCTATTGTGTCTATAATGACGGTACTCGACGAGTTAAAAAAAGACTCACCTAAAACTAGACCCACAAGAGCTGCAAGTAAAGCTATCTCCAGTCTTATGTTCACCTACATGCTTCATCATACGCTTCTTTAACCCAGTATTGAAGCCGCACTCCTTGCACTTGTACCCTTGCTGGTGCAACGCTTTATGAGCGGACAAATTATCTTTAGTTAGGAAATATGCCTCGCAAATTGGACACTGGTGACAGTTCTCACCTTTCTGTAAAAGAATAAATTATAAGTAAAATCGCCATCAGTTTGTCTTGTCCTCGGGAACTTACTGCATGGCAAAAGAGTTTTGACGCGGTTCAAGCTGTCAAGCTGGAACTAATATTGACTTGGACTGAATCACCCACTTCTGAACATATCCCATCAATCAATCATCATCAATCAAATCAAAAAAGGCTTCAGGTATTTCAGAATTCAATTGATGAAATAGAGCCAATTTCATTTACATTAGAATTACTTGAAAAAAAAAAACATTGCTGATATATCCATGAATATTCCGAATTTATTAGTGAGATTGGACAGGATGGTAGAGTAGGTGATGGGATAGTGGGTAGGATGGTGGGATAGTAGGATTGGATGTTGGGATAATAGGATAGGATGGTGGGATAGTACGATAGGATGTTGGGATAATAGGATAAGATGGTGGTATAGTACGATATGATGATGGGCTAGGATAGGATGGCGGGATAGTACGATAAGATGATGGGCTAATAGGATAAGATGGTGGGATAGTACGATAGGATGTTGGGATAATAGGATAAGATGATGGGATAGTACGATAGTGTAATTGGGTAGGATCGAGGGATATTGGGATAGTACGGTGGGATACTAAGATAGGATGGTGGGATAATCATATTAGGATAATCTAATAGTGCGATAGAAGAACAATATAGATAAAGTTATATTTTATTTTTATAACTACTTACCGGCTGATGTTTTCCATTTAAATGGTCTTGCATTAATTTCTCTGTATTAAATGCTATGATGCAAGTATCACACCTGTGGAACAAAGAAATATGTCTTTTAATCCCTAAGGGTAGACAAAGGCCCACAGAAGCCATTACATGAAGTTAACTCAAACTGTGTTTTTTTTTAATTATCATGCTGAATGAAAGACCTCTACTGGACTAGAAGTCGAAGAACCAGCCTTAACGAGCCTTAACTGCTCATGAGGAAGTCACTCTGTGAGTCGAAACCAGTAGAGCTATTCTCAGTATCTTTACGTGAGGAACCCGGCATTATAAATTATATTTATTTTTATCTCCTGTGTCGTGGGTACGTTTACAAACATACAAGTTCACATACACATCACACCCAGACCCGGAACAACGATCTGTGGATGATACAAACAGTTGCTCCGTGTGGGAATCGAATCGGTAATTTGTAATTTGTGCCCTAAGTTGCACAAAATACAAATTACCCAATGATGTATTTATGCGATGTTGCGCAACATAAACATCGTACTGTTTTGCTTGCAACATGATATTGCACAACATTTCTTATATTCACTCCTATGTTGCGTCCGTTGAATAACCTATACTCCGTCTGTTTAGGTAGTTAACTATTTGTAAACAAACCATAAAAAGAGTTCTTTATAGTTGACATTTCCATGACTCAAAATACTTCATAAGAAAATAAAATTGTTTCCGTTTTTACGACAGTTTTCTCTATTAAATGTTATGTTTCTGTTCCTTTTCACATATTTATTAGTAAATATTATATATATATATATATCTGCTTGAGCATAATAATATACTAACATTTATTAAATAATATAATATTTCATTACAATAGACACCATAAAGAGCCTAAAATCCCAGGTATCCAAAACCTTTGTTTATGAACGAAGCATTAGATAATGTTGTCAAATTAAAGAGTCCAATTAAGATGTAGCGCGACAATGAAAGTAGCGTGTATTACGTTTAGTCGGTTAATCAGGCGCCATTGACAGCTCTCTCGTCGTTTGCGCTCGCGTTCCTATTTTGTTGAATTTATCTTGTTTTTGTTTTGTTTTTGTTATTACGTTATTTAAGTTTAGGTTATTCATCGTTTGTAATTAATGTGTTCAAATATATTGAAGAAACTTGGCCCAAAGACACATATCCGTACAAGAAAGAAATCCGTACATCAGATTCAGAATAGTTTCTATTTAAACATGATAATGAAATAGACCCATAGGCTAGGCTCTTGTACGATTTAGGCATTTGTGCTTGTATGTGTGTGTG